CCCCGGCCCCCGGGCCCCCTCCCGCCTGGGGCTGCCCACAGCCGCCTCTGCCCCAGCTCGGCCTCCATGAGGCTCACACCACCCAGGGAGGAGGCACCTTCAGCCCCGCGTGCAGACAAGGAAGCTGAGACCCATGTCCACAGCCAGAGTCCTTCGCCACCGTCCACGCCGACAGGGCTGGGTCAGCCCTGAGGAGGGTCCCACGGCCCCAAGACTGGCCCTACAGCCACCTGATCATCCCACATGGACCCGGCCCTCCTGGCAAGCCCAGAAACCAGGCCAAGACTCCAGCACGACGCGGCAACCCTGAAGGGAGCACCCCCTGGCCAGGGCTGCCTCCTCCCCTCTTGATCAGAGCCCACAGCTCCCGTGAGGGCATGTATGTCCCTAGGGTGGCTCGTGCGGGCCCAGAGGGGCCTGCTGCGCACAGAGCCCAGCCTCAGGGGGCTCACAGGCCACCCAGACGCGAAGCCACCGGCAGGGCAGACCCCACGGCCTGGCTGCGCACCTTCTTGGAAGACAGCACCAGGGTCTGGACCGGCTCGAAGTCCTGGAAGAGCTGCGTCTCCTCAATCAGGTGCACGGTGTTCTCCAGGCTGACAGCTTTGTGCAGGGCTCCCTGGTCTACAGGGTCAAAGGCACAGATCAGCCAGGCAACCCGGACAGAGACACGCCCCCAACCAGACACTCAGAGAAAGGAGATTTTACATGAGACACAAACAGGAAAAGGCCTTAGCTTTGGCAAAATAAACAACTAGAAACTCAAGCGTTATGCGATTCCAACTCTTAAATGAAAATTAAAACTAACGTCCCACTGTTGACGCTTCATGGACAGTTGATACAAGGACATTTGGGACGGGGTCTCTGGGGTGGCATCGTGAAGGGCCCAGGCAGGCAGGGGTGCGGGGCGCACAGAAGGCCGGCCGGGCGGCTCCAGGGCAGGCCATGCCCCGCCAGCCAGCCGTCACGGCCCTGGCCGCCCCATCTGGAAGCGCCAGTGTCAGGGTCCACAGCCAGGGAAGCGTGTCTCGTGGTGCGGCAGGTCCTGTCTCACGCCTGGCCCCTCGGGAGGGATGCGGTCTTCTGCCAGCAGGCAGCCGGGCTGAGCCTCCTCCCAGGACGGCCCGCCCACCCCCACGCAGGCATCTCAGCACCTGCCCAGGTCCCAGCCAGGACTTGCATTCAGCAAGCACCAAGTGGCCGGGGGGGTCAGAGAGACCCGACCACCAGGACTAGTCGCACCGCAGAAGTCCTTTCCTGCGTCGCCCCGAGGGAGAGGCCGGATCCCCCTGCGTGAGATGAGCTGTCTCTATCTTCCCAGCAGGGGGTGTGGCCGGGCGGCGGCAGCCGGGCCCCGGGACCCACCTGTGCTGACAAACATGACATCGTAGGCTGTCCCGTCCAGGGCCCGCGTCCGGTCCACCACAATCTGTGTGTAGTTCACGTCCTTTTTGACCAGCCTGGGCCTGTTATCTACCGGCATCACCGAGCCGTCCATCAGAGGATGGTCTTTGACAAACTGCAGCGTTTTGTCTGGCAAATTCAAGGAGCTGGTGTAGTTGGCAGCCCGAGTCTCGCTGTCAATGCACTGTGGGAGCAAAGCCCAGCGTCAGCGTGGCCATCAGCCACCACCTGCCATGAGCACAGCCGCCCATACGCCCTTCCACAGGGCCACCAGCCACCACCCTCCGTGAACTCATGGCCACCCACATGCCCTTCCACACGGCCACCAGCGGCATGTGCTTCCACACGGGTACTGGGCACCAGATCTATGCGCTGTGTGAAATCTGCAACCACGCCACAGATTTCCAGAAAGGAGAGTGACAGGCATCCCCTGGGGTGACCTGTCCCCAGGAATTGGAGACACAGTTATGAAGTAAAACAGAACTGTGTTTCATATGTGGCAGGGGAGGGCTGTCTCCTATTCACAGACAGAAAGCACGTATCAAGCTTTCAAAATTGAAACAGCACTTCTTTGTAGGTTTCCCGTGAGAAGAATGCCAGACTTTGCTGGGAACAGCCCACTTCTAAACAGCAGAGAAGATAAGAAGCATGAAGGATTTTTTTCTGTCCCACGAGTGAACACACTTTCAACAGTCCACACAGAAGGCGAGACTGCGGTGTTGGGGGAGGATGCCCCACAGAGGGTGCCGGTGCTGGGGTGAGCCTGGGACCAGGACACCCGCAGGCACAGCCCTGAAATTGCGCACACGCGAGACACCCATTTCCCCACGTGGCAGGCGCTTGTGGGTGAGCCTGACCAGCCTAGCAACCCTCCTGAGGTCTACACAAAATTCCCTCGTTAGGAGGAAGACTCGGACCCTGCTGACCAGGAGGCAAGCAGCGGGGGTGACAGGCCCTGGTGAAGAGCTCCTGCTTCTCTGTGGGAAACTGACAATGGAGCAGACGATGCGTATTACACGCCCCTAACTCTGCCAAAACGCCCAGCCGCACACGGTCCCCTCGCTCAGACAGTCCACAGTGACGGCTATTGAGCTGCACACAGAGCGGAGACAGCACTGACGGGCTCCGTGCACTGGCCCTCCCAGGCCCCGCGGGCAGAGCGCCCAGGTGGCCAGGTACCACCCCGAGGAGGCCTCGGGCCTGCAGGGGGGGAGGACCCTGCCCCAGCCCCCCCACCACTCCGGGCCAGAGAGGGAGGGAGGACTCCCACCCCGGCCCCTGCTCACCGCTCCGGGCCGCGGCCTGGGCACCGGGCCATTGTAGCGCACCCACTTGGTGTGGGAATGCTCCACCGTGGCACTCTGCATGTACTTCCCGTGGGAGAAGACGTCCTCGGCCGTGGACAGGTCGTAGGCGCACACGGCGGACAGCCCCACGTTGTTCCTGCGGAGGGAGGAGGCGCGTGACCGCCTGGCAGGCGGCGAGGAGGGGCCGTGGCGCCCGCCCGGCAGCGCAGGGGGCGCCGTCCCTGCCCGGCACTAACAGCTGCGGGGCGAAGAGCGCGTAGAACACGGGCGCCTTCAGGTCTGGCGCCCGCAGCACGAAGACGTCCCGCAGCACGTTGAAGACCAGGCTGCCGTCCCGCCGTGAGCAGATCAGCTTGGCTTTCAGGAAGGACGTCCACTTCTTCTGCAAGGTCCTCAGACCGCCCTGGTCGCCCTGAAACCACAACGACAGGGCGTGGCAGGAGGCGTGGAACGCGGGGTCAGCCTGCTGCCCTGCGTGGCGTCCTGCTGCCCGAGAGGACCGAGGCCCCCGAGGCCGCAGGCAACCGCCGGCCACAGCCCTGCTTCCCAGGCCCAGCTCACTTCACAGGGCACGCCCAGGCTGAGACCGAACAGACAGACGCCCTCTCACGGCAGGCCGTTCGCTCATCCACGCCCACGGGGGCTCCACGCCTGGCCTGCAGCTGCAGAGGTGGGCCACGGTCACATCCACCCTGTGTGTGGGCTTGAGGGACCCCCCGCGAGCACATGCTGGGCCTGCAGGCGGTGCCCTCCCTCTGCCAGACACCAGCCTGACGTGGAGACAGGCAGACTGCCCAAGGAGTCAGACCCTTCGCTTCCTTCCTTTCCAAGCTGTCTGCTCAAGCAGGTGGACCTGCCGGGCTCTTCAGAAACTCTCTAGTGACCCGATGGCCGAGAGCCAGTTACGAGCCACACAGGACTGCACATGCGTGGACATATGAAGCCTCGATGTCCGAAAGCAGAGGAGTCGCACTTCAAGGAGTCCTCACTCATTCTGGAAGCAGGAAAACACTCCTCCTCATCTCTGCCACGTGAGCACAGGAGGCCACGTTCTTTACGAAAGGATTTCCTCTTGTTTCTCGACATTTCACCCCAGAACATCCAGCATGTCTCTGGTCGTCTGCCTCTCTGGCTTCAGGGAGGTCCATGTGCTGTGGGGCGACCGGCAGGGGCCAGGGCGCTATGCTCAGAAGGCCTCAGTCCAGGACGTCTGACAAGGACGGGGAAAGAAAAATGCCGGAGGAGAAGACGCGGCACACCCAGACTTCTGAGACGTGGGGGGCCTGCCTCCCAGATCTGCTTGTGGAAACGGCTGCCAGCCCCAGGGCCAGGACTTCAAGGCCAAAGCAGGTCCAATCCGGTTTCCTGATGTCCACACAGCTACGGGAAGGGAGGAGAGTGTGGCCTGCCAACTGGCACTGCCCAGAGGGTACCTTGCACACAGTGCACACTTGTCCCATGCAGGTGGCTGCCTGTCACGACCAGCACCAGCCCACCCCGTGCACTTGCCCTTTGGCCGAGATGGTGCTCAGGTCTGCAAGACGTGGTGGGTGGCAGCCATGGCTGGGGACCGTCGTCGGATTTGGTGGGTGAGCCCAGCTGGGCAGACAGCGACGTGCCAGACACAGGTACACAGAGCACCCGCTCTCCCTCACGCTGGGTTAAGGCATTAGTACCACCGACGTGGAATCCTCGCTTCTGTGGCGTCCTGATGGTGGTCGCCGCCCGAGAAGGCCAGGCGGCAGCTGTTGCTGAGTCAGAAGCCGGCCACGGACACGGCTTGTCACGCCCCGTGTGGTTTCTCTCACGTCTCGCCTGAGGCCTGTCAACCTGCCTCTCCGAAACCCACAGAGCAGCCAAGATTTCCCACATCAACCCCCAAAACCGTGCCTTGTCTGAGCACGGCGCCCACCGCTGGCTGCCGGGAAAGCAGTCCCCCCACAAGTCCTGTGAACGTGGTGTCTGGATGCCAGCCCTGGCTTTCTCTCCCTAAGCCCACGCTGGTGGATGGTGTTTCGCGCCAGGGCTGATGGAGCCAGGCGGCGACCCCTGACTCCAGTGGCACCTGGTGAATACGCCCCACAGTCACCAGCTCTACGGCCTGGGAGGCCGGCGAGCCTCTGCTTCTTGCGGGGCAGTGCTCCCTCACGGAAGCCCGGAAGGAGGCTGGGCCTGTGGCAGCCTGTCGGGATGGCCCCTGCGGCCCGAGGACAGCCGGCCCCAGGGGCGGCGACAGCTTGGACAAAGGGCAGAGGCGACCAACTGCCCGGGCTGTGGCTGCGGCCTGAGCACAGGAGGCGGGCGCTCACCTTGCACACCCGCGCGATCCGCGGGATCTGCAGCCGAAACACGAACTCGTACTCCACGGACACCTCCGTGAAGAAGAAGTAGACCCTGTCATCCTCGCCCTCAGCCGGGCTCTTCCGGATCACGTCGGCGAAGACAAACTTGGGCTCTGCGGAGACATGACCCGGGACCCCACACCCGGAGCTGCGGCATCACCACACCTGGGCGTCGCCGGCGGCCAGCGTGGCCAGGGCATCCCGGCAGGACGTCCGTGGTGTGCATGGAGTGCGCCCCACACGAAACCTCCAGGGCAGGGATGACAGCAGCGCCGACCTGGCCCCGCTCCGCACGCGGTGGCGCCAGGGGTCTGCCGCCCCACCCACGGGTCCACCTGAGGACCCAGTGGGCTCCCAGCTGGCAGGCCAGAGCCAGATCCTGGCAGTCTGGGAGGCCTGCTGGGAAATGCATGCTTGCCGGTTTAAGCCACCTGTGCCTCAAACAAACGCTAGTCACCGTGTCTGGGTGTCCCAAGGCCCTGGCTCCATGACTGCCCTGCCCTGAGGAGCGGCCAGCTATCCCCACATCTCGGGTCTTGGGGTCAGTCCCTAGATGAGGAGGCCTTAACCCCCAGGCTCGGTGGGCCGACATCCGTGAGGAAAGTCCCCGTGAGTCGCCACCAGCTCCCTGCCTGTGAAGTCGGATGTCAGACCCATGCCATCTGCAGCAGCAAGGCACGGGTCCCGCCGACCAGAGCAGAGACCAGGCACGGGGCGGGTGAGGGGAAGGTGCCGAAACCTGCTCAGCGCCACACTGGAGTGTCACCCTGACACCACCTGACAAGCCTGAGCTTGCCGCGTGCCATCAGATCCTCACTTTTATGAAAGTCTCCCAATTCTGTTATCAGGGTTGGGAGCAGACTGTCTCACAGTGCTGTATCAGCAGAGGAAAACCCAAGCGAGATGCCCTGGACTCCGGCTACGGGTCCCAGCAGTCCTGGAGCGCGTGGGGTCGACAGCAACAGGAAGGGCCAGAGGGCATGCAGGGAGGGTGCAGCTCCCTCCCACCAAGCCCTCACCCCTTACCATTCAGCCAGGGGATGGCGTACTCCGTCCTCAGTGGGCTATGGGCGGAGCTTCGAGAGATGACAGGCTCACTCCCCAGGAAGTTGTATGATGTCCCTGTATAGAGCTCCCCATCTGTGGCCCAGGAGAGAGGGAAGGGAATGCTTTAGTTACAACCGAATGAAGCCCCTGAGGAAAGGAAGGGATCGTCCCCCGATCTTGGGAGGACACGGGGACACCCAGGTGTTTCCTGTGTCTTGGCAGGGACAATTTTGTGCTCCACATCAGCTAGTTTTTACGAGATATGGGGCAATAACCAAACACAAGCGAGCAGTTCCCACATCCAGGAACAGGCCAAGAAATGCCCCGGCAGGTGTGCGCGCAGTTGCAGACACCCACCTTGGGGTGCGAGCCCATCTCCGGCAGCGTGAGGCTCGGCTGAGCCCCCTTTCTGGATTACCTGCCCAACATGCCCAGGTTGCTCCGCAACGGGCACCTATGGGATATGCTCCCCTGGGAGCCAGGCATCCCTGGGGAGAGTGGGCCCAAAGGCTCTCATTTGGGGTCTGCGCACCATGTATGCCTGCTGTAAACGGGGCTAACATGCCAACAGGGTCCAGGCAGACAGTCCGGGGCAGGAGGACCCTGCAGGGACTCACCAACCATGACAGACGTGTAGCTGTGGGCCGGGTCAAAGGGACACCTTCCCTTGCCGTCCTCATTCCTCCCCAGAAACGTAAAGGAAGTCAAGTTCTATAATCAGATACAAAGGAAGCAGTCAGGGACGGCTGCATCTCTGCGAAGGTGACACAGGGCTTGGATGTCCACGTCTTGTGCTGGAATGCGGTTCCTGGGTGGGGGTGGGGCCTGGAGGGAGGCAACTGGGTTGTGGGTGGGAGAAACCGGTGACAGAGGCTCGCCAAGCCCTGTTCTGGGAGACCAATGATCTGAGCCCCCAAGACAGACCCGGGGGGCCCCAAGAGCAAGGGCTGGCATTCAGCCTTGGCACCTCTCCTCACTGGGCCCCAAAGCACACCTGCACGAGGAAGGATGCACAGCGCCAACCCAGAGAGTTCTGGGAGGTTCTGGCAGGAAAATGAGGCGACAGTAAGTGGCATGCTGGGGGAAATACCCACAAAAGGGTCAGTGGGGTGTTTCCAGCCCTGACAATACGCAACGTGTGGACAGTCGGAGAAGCCCGGGGAAAGACAGCTGAGCCCGCGAGTCGCCTGGCGGCCTGGAGGGTCCAGGGAACGCAGGCATGAGGGCCATACCCAGAGCAGCTCAAAGCTGGCCCTGCCCACAGTGGCAAGGGGACACTGGAGCTGGCTGAAAAGGCTTGGGGGCAGAGCAGGGGGCTTGGGCCCCGGCCAACATTCCTGGCAGCTGGTGAGGACAGCACATGGGTCGCCCCCCTGGGACTGGTGGCAACACACCAATGGGATGCAACCCACTCCCACGTCCGCAAAGGGTGCTGGGGCTGTGGGTGACATCTGAACAGATGACCCCAGGAACTGCACATTTTCTTAGATATGCGATGAAATTGGAGTCCTGTAGAAAAATGGCACCATTCCCAGGAGACGCCTGGGAAGACGTTTGCGAGTCATGGGTCACAGGTCCGCAAGCACATGCGTGTGACACACGTGCACACACAAACACATGCACACATGTGCAAACGAGTTCACACGGACACGTGTGCACAGATACACGTGTGTGCAATCTGTGCACACACACATATTCCCAATTGTGTCATCTGGACTGCTAGTGTACACAAGGGATCCACTTTTCTGCAGGCGTGAAAACTTTTATTAAAAATATTAGGAAAGCCGGGCTCAGTGGCTCAGCCTGTAATCCCAGCACTTTGGGAGGCCGAGGTGAGTGAATTGCCTGAGCCCACGGGTTTGAGACCTGCCTGGGCAACTTGGTAAGACCTCATCTCTACAATAAATCAAAAATTAGCTGGGCATGGTAGCACGCCCCTGTAGTTCCAGCTACTTGGAAGGCTGAGGCGGAAGGATCGCCGGAGCCCAGCAGGTCGAGGCTGCGGTGACCGGGAACATGCTGCTGCACTCCCGCCTGGGCGACAGAGTGAGACTCCAACTCACAAAAAACAAAATTAGGAAAAACTACAGGTCTAGATGTCACCGGGATCTAGCACCTCTACCCTCGGCAACTGACCTGTCTACAGGGTGTGGGTTAAACGGCACACTTGACACACCTGACGAACCACGGCCAGAAAAGTCCTCGACGTGCGAGACGTCCCTAGCCCACCTGCACTCTCTGCACCAAAGCGAACAGAAGCTCCTGTCACTGACTTTCACGGCTGCCTCGGGCTTGCCGACAGCCCGTGCAGGGCCCTCGCCTGGTGCCGTGTGTGTCTGCCAGCCTTCCTGAGCAGCTTCCGGGCAGCCCGCCCTTATCCTGTCATCTGTCTCTCACTCAAGGTTGGAAAGCGCTTATTTAATTCCAGCTACTTGGGGGTTTGGGCATTAAGCTTCCCACCGCAGTGCCTCTCCCATCTATCGGGTAGTCGCCAACCCGAGACACGCATCAGGACACGCGTGTTCCTGTCAGTCTCCCATGTTCCCGTGTGGACTGTGCTCCTCCACGAGCATCCTCACAGGGTGTGTCTGGCTATTTGGGCCAGACTCGCTCCGGGCAGGGGCCGGTCTTGCCTCCCTCAGGCTGGCCATGAAGGGAGGAGGCCCCAAGGCCCTCACGGGGGGCACGCGCAGGACGCCACCAGGGCAGGATCAAGGCGTGACGCCATGGGGGCGGAGGCCGGTCCTGCTCTCACGGCTCAGCACTCATGGTTGCTGCCCCAAAGGGGGCAGACCCTGGGATCGTGGCTTGGGGACAAGTTCACACCAAAAGCCAGCGTGGATGTCCACAATGTCCACAGCACCTAAGAATATGCCCGATCCAGAGCTTCATCACAGCCAGGCCTTCCGCACTTTCTAGAACGTTCCCACACCGCACATTCTGCCCTGCACTGGGGCTGCCAGTACAGACCCCTGCCCCAGGCCACGCCCTGGGCCCTGAGCCCTGGAGGCCCGTGGGCCACGTGCTTCTGAAGGCAGCCTGGCTCGGCTTTCAGGAGCCCGTGGACTGCCTCTGCCCTCCCACAGCCGGCGCTGGGGAGCGCCCGCTGCTGCTGGGTGGAGCTGCTTTGCGCCCGCCTGGAGCACCTCCTGCATCCGCCGCTGACCAGACGCGGGCACCCGCCTTACCAGGTGGTCACAGGTCGGCTGGAACGCGTTGGTGCCACACACGTAGAGGGCCGTGGCGCTGAGTGGCTGCAGCACGCGGATGTAGTTGAGGCACTCCGTCTGCGGGGGTGGGGAAACACATCAGCAACAGGCGGCAACGCGCCCCCATCCACACGCTCCCCTCGGGGCCCAGGCCCGGCTGCCACGCCTGCCCTGCCACGCCCCTGGCCACGAGCCACGTGTGTCCAAGCCCCATCGCATCATCGCCACCCGGGGTGGGGGTCCCCGAGCCCCCAGCCCCGCCCTGTGCAAACTGAAAGCTGACACTAGCCCTGCGGGTGCCAGTGGCGTGGGATTTCAGTCCCTGACGGACATTCGCAAAGGCGTGGCCGCTCAAAACAGCAGTGAGCGCTTCCCTCCAATCTCCTGGGATCCTCGCTGCAGTTATTCTGGCTCTATACACGGATGCAGTTGTCCGTTCTGCTGCCAGGCATGGCAAGAGCCCCCCCCTTCCTGGAGACCCTGCCTGCCTCCCCCCTGCGGGGCGCCAGACACAGCCGGGGAGAGGGGCCCCCGGGGGCCGGGAGCCGCCTCGCCTCGGAAACGCTCCAGCGGGAAAGCCAGGGCGCCGCTGAGAAAGCTACTGTTCCCGGCTGGGAGACCTTGGATGACGCCTGCCCGAGCCCAAACCCATCCCCGGTCAGGACCGCTCTCTCCTGGCTCCGTTTTGGGACTGGGTGGACCAGCTCACAAGTCGCCCCGCACTCCCGACGCCGGCGAGGCCCCTGCCCGGAGCCTCCACGCAGGCGCGCAGGGTGCCTGGTCCAGCCCACGCCAAGACCTCGCTCCACGTGCCTGTGATTCTGCTGCCAACCCTGCTTCTCCCTCATCTCCTAAAGTAACTCTGGCTTCAGAGACACACGTGCGAGTGCAGGTGCTCAGCGTCTTGCTAGGGGAAGTTTAGCAAACAATCCCTTGGGCTCTTTATTATTATTGTTACTTTAGTTGTTTTGAAATGAGTCAATAACTGATGAAATTGGCCGTAACTCAGCTGTCTTGACCCACAGCAAGGAAGACTGGGCGCCTGCAGCTCCAGAATCCCGACACCTGTCCCCCGGTGGGGACTCGGTGGCTCAAAGGGTGGCCAGGGTCATGCAGACTCCAGACAGGAATAATACTCAGCCCAGGACTGCCCGAGCGGGCGTGACACGGAGGGCCCAGAGGGATGATCTTGGCCCCAAATCCCAAACTCCCAGCAGCCCTTCAAGCCCGCGGCCGCCAGTGCACACACAGGCACACACACAGTGAACTCCAAACACTGCACCATCAGCGTGTGGGCATCGGAGTCGTGGTCTGCAGTCAGACTGTCAGCCCTTGGGGGACATTCAAGGTGCGTGCCATTTCCCAAACACTGTGCTTGGCCTTTGCTCCGAGAGCCCAGTCCCAACACTGGAGAAGCCTCTCAGGACGGGAAGCTCCTGTCCAGGCAGCCGGCTTGCCCTTCAGAAGTTGTGGTGTTTGGGAGATTGAAACGACCAAGAAACGCTGCACGGGACTTCGTGTACCTGTTTCGATTTCCCCTTCTCCGCGCACTTTGCTCTCTTGCCTTCCGAGACCCTCCAATACACCTGTGGAGGAAAGGGACGCTCCAGTGTGGCTCTCTCTTAGAAAGGGCATCACACTCAAATGTGCACAACAGTGTTCTGAGCCTCGGGTTTCTCCTGGGACGATCAATTCTCCGCCTGCAGAAGAGGCTCCGAGGGCAGAGGGAGAGGCCCAGAGACCACCGGGCACCTTCCAGAACGCTCTCACTGGAACCCTCATCCTGACACCTTTGGGGCCTCGAAATCAGCCCCAGATTCCCACTATTCACTACGGAACACCAGCAAGAATGAAACTACTGGAAGTGGAATCAAATTGTATGTCTGAAACTGAACTGCGAGGATTTTCAGAAATGAAAGCGGGTTTTTCCCATCCATTCAAAAGTGACACGGGTCCAGTTTAAAAAACAAGTCTGCACACTCACTCCAAAGCAGGATCGTGGACAGCAGGTCCTCGGACCTGGGCGTTGGCCAAGGTGGAGCAAGGAGGAACCCCTGCCCTGGGGTCAGATGCCTTTCTTGGGGGGGTCCACATTCCCACACCTCTTCCTTTAAGTCTGGTGGATGCCAGATCAGAAACTGTCGGTCCAGGCCTCCCAGTCCCCCCCAGGGTGGATGCAGCGTTGGACAGCAGGGTGAGAGTTGGAGGCTCCGGGCCTGCCACCCTTCCCCTGGACACCCACCCTGGGTCACATCCCCTAACGGATACAAAAAATGCAAGTAACAAAGGGCATTCCCTTTCTCCACCCAGACGCACAGGGCAGCCACAGCCGCGAGGAAGGGACCCGCCTGTGGAGTGTTCTCAACCAGCAGCACCCAGAGGCTGTGTCTTCACAGACGTGCGAGTCCTGAGGGAGACGCACAAAATCAGAACCAGGTCCTGCCTGAAACAGCCACTTCCTCAGAAACTCAAGTGCAGAGGTTCCATCACCAACCCAGGAAACAGAGGAACCAGGGACCACAGACTTCAAGCAGCCCTCAGTCACGCCTGGCGGGTCCCCTGATTCTTTCTGCTCTTTCAAATGTCCGAGGCCTCCAACCCCCGCCCACCCGAGGGACTGTGTGCCGTGGGCTAGGCAAGGCTGTCTCTCGCCCGACACTCACGCGAGACTGAGTCGGCGCTGGGCGGAAAGAGCTGGAGGGAAGACCTGGCCTGACCCTGACCCTGGGGTCGGGGCTAAGTGAGGCGGGACCTGGCAGCCTCCACGCCACAGGGTAAATGCTGTTTTCAAAGGATCAAGCTCTGAAGCTCCTTTCTGTGTCAAACAGAAATTAAGAAACGTGCCAGTTTCTGGAGATGAAAACAGAGAGATCTGGGAGAAGAATCACAGCGCCTGCCCAGAACAGGCTGATTCCAGGAAGCAGGAAAACGGCCTCCAGCACGGGGACTTGGGGCCAAGAGGCTGCTGCAGACCGGGGACAGGCTGATCAAGCTTAAACACCATCAACTATAGCGGTTGAAGCACAACGAGTGTGTTTACATCCACGAGTTTACTGTGAGGCTAAAAACCAAATGGTCAGAAAACTCAGTATGGCTCTTCAGAGGGGCGCTGACTCGGTACGAACTCGTCTGGAAAAGGGCAACAGGGCAAAAAGGGATGGGTATGGTGGTGCACGCCCATCAGCCCAGCACTTCAGGAAGCCGAGGAGGGAGGACTGCTTGAGCCCAGGATGTCATCTCTGCAACAAGATTTTAAAAACCAGCTGGGAAGCTGGGCTCGGTGGCTCAGCCTGTAATCCCGTGCCTTGGGAGGCTGAGGTGAGT